GTTCAAGAAACGGATATTTATGTTATTATTATGTTTCTCTACTCTCGAAATAGTCGAAGAATTATAATTATTGGGAAAAATTTACTCAATTTTATGTTAAATATGTCCCAAATGAGACACCCCGTTTTTGGCACATTGATTTTTAAACACAAATAAGAGCAGGCTCCTGATTTTCATGAAAAACTTAATTTCCTACTTATATTTTATGTATATTTTTCCTGCTGAGTACCTTTTCCGCGGCATATCATACTCATGTTGCTTTTTGGTGTGCAAGCGAACACCGAATCCTTAGCTGAGCCAAAGATACCAAGCAACGACAAATCTCTTTCGCATCATTTCACTTGGAGTCAGTCCAAATAAACTGTGGCAAGCCATATGGATATAGCCAGCGTAAGCTGAAGTGACTTGCACACGTACGCACACACACATTTGTATACTAATGCATACCAGTGCACTCTTAAAGGTAACGAAACTTTAAAATCAAATGAAATTTTCCACATCGCACAACGAAAGCACCAACCGAAAGTGGTACTGATGTGGCTGCCACCACAGCAGGCAACTGCAAAACTTTACTACAATATGCAGCTGCAGCTGTTATTGTTGATGTTGCAGTTGTCACCTTGCCTTACCGACGGTAGCTTGAAATCAGCTGCGGCAAACAATTCGCCTGGAAATTGTTGTGGAAAAGTTTTTCGTTGCAACGAAACTGAAAACAAAAACGAACACAAAAGCAAAAACGCAAGCAACATTTTCGAAATAAACAACAACACAAGCGAAACTGTAAACTACAACAACAATTTGGTGCAGCCTCTCAAGCAACCTTGACAACAACAAAAGTTAATAACCCGCCACCATAGCAACAAAACTTCGCAAACACAACTATAACTTGCTTTTAGAAAAAAAAAACAAAAAAAATATGGCAACGACCATTAGAAATTAAAGCGCAACCTAACTTGTAACTCGCACGGCTACAGTTTGTTCAACTTATAAGACAACAACAACGAATACAACAAACAGCAGGCAATTTTATGCAGCCCCTTCGACCGGCCCATGTTGGGCTTCTGACGTGGTACCTTCAGAGGCAGATCATTGTCATGTACTGACAAGATTATTGTCGAGATTAGAAGATGTTACTGAAGTTGCTCTTATTTAAAGGATACAAATTTACATAACCAATTCATAGCTGGAGAAATCCAGTGTTAATATAAAAGCTCACAAAAGTAGAAAAGCACACGTAACTGAAAGAAAGTTCACCCTTTAATAAAGCTTACAGCTTTGCGATGCAGCTACAGGAGGAGCTATGTATTTTCAAGTGTCTGGCCTGTGTACACGAAGTGCAGCAATGGTCTATAGAGATGCTTCATTTTACACGATATTTTATATATTTTATTTATTAAATCAGAAATTACTGAACTACTTACTTAGGCAGGAAACAGGTATGTACAAAAAACATAATTTTTTATTAGAAACTTTTATTAAAACTTTACACTTATTAGTTTTTTAGAAATACCTACAGGTGGCAGTTGCTAGCCTTGAATCAATTTTTTAAACAAGGAAGGTGCTGTGGTTAACAGCGTAACAGTAAAAAATGGCAGTTGATCAATAATATATCCTAAGGGCGCCAGTATCAGCAAACCCTGATTTCGAGAGCTTTTTTCATGAAATACTTTTTTAGATATCGAAAAGAGTTTTATGGTTAAAGTAAGAACCCACTTTTGTCAGGAAATCTTACCCAGCCACTAATTTTAAAACGTCAAAGGAGTATAAAAATGTAAATCTAAAGACTGTCAAATGTTTGAGTATTTTCTCCTTTATTAGATATTAACATTTAAGCAATATCCGAAAGTAGATTAAAACTCGGCAAAAGTATATTTTATTACAACTGAGAACGGTTAACACCTGTGAGCAAAAACTTGTATCAATTAAAAACAAACCTTTTAAGGGGCTAAGTCCACTTGCAAGTCAGATATTGTGAATTTTCTTGAAAATTCATTTTACTTAATAAATAATTAAAATAAAAGTAGATTCTGTAAACCAATTTACTTTTATGATCCGTGATTCATTCTGAAAATTTTTGGAATTCCTTGATTGCGTAGCCACTTGACCGGAGGATCTTCGGAAAATGTAACAGTATGTGAGGAAGATTTTTTTATTTTAAAGGGGTACTCTAGTCTAGATATTAAAAAAAATCAGTTTTTTTATATCGTTAAAGTTTAACTATTCAATTGTTTTCGTAGGTATATGGAGCCTAACAGAAATATTGACTCGATTTTACCCATTTTATGTCCACATATTTGATATCTGGGTTTTTGAAAAGTTATACTTCAATTTCGACAATTTTTGGGAGTAAGATTAAGAACCTTGAGTACACAATTTGTGCAAAGTTTTACTCTAATAACTTTATTGATAAATAAATAAAATCAGATGGAATTGCAAAGTTTGTTATATGAAAAGTAGACGTTCCATAGTGTACAGCTGTGGATAACCTCAAACACCCAATTTGGTTGAAATTGGTACATTAGTTCTTGAGATATAGGATTTCACCTAAAAGCGGCCGGTGCCACGGTAATTTTCCAATTTTTAACGGAGTGGACGTGGATATTATCTGATTTTACCCATTTTCCCAGTATGTTAAGAAATGTTAAAGAATCTTCTTCTTAGCAACTTTGGTTCAGTTAGCTTCAGTGGTTTGGAAGACATGTACCTTTAACCATTTAGAGGGCGAGGGCGTGACCACTTTAAAGAAATATTTAGTCTACAACTGCCTCTCACTACTGCGATCCCCTGCACCAAATTAAAGTTTTGGATCTTAATTTAAAGCTTAGTTACGACACTTTATAATTTCATCAAGATATCTCAATTTTTTATTACGTTACAGATGGACGGACAGATATCCAGATTTCAACTCGTATCAAAAAAAAATTTTTTTATTCACAAGTAGATATAACTACTTAAATCATATACGCAGCTATTTAGAATGGTTTAGTGCAATAGTATAAATAAGAGTTAAGAAGGAAATTTGCTGTGGTCTTGTGTTTTTGCTTCCGAGTAAGCGCTGAGTGGACAACCACAAAAATTATTACATAATTACACAATATAATACAAATTATAAAAAGGCCTTGGGACTGTTTCTAAACATTGTATAATAATTTAATAAAAAATTATTTTTTACAGTTTGTTCTCGTACATATCCGGGAACAATCCAAACGCATAATATATGAAGAATACACCCTGAGAGCATTTTTATACTCTCGCAACCTGTTGCTACAGAGTATAATAGTTTTGTTCACCTAACGGTTGTTTGTATCACCTAAAACTAATCGAGTTAGATATAGGGTTATATATATATAAATGATCAGGATGAAGAGACGAGTTGAAATCCGGGTGACTGTCTGTCCGTCCGTCCGTCCGTCCGTGCAAGCTCTAACTTGAGTAAAAATTGAGATATCTTTATGAAACTTGGTAGACATGTTTCATGGTACCGTGAGACGGTTGGTATTGCAGATGGGCGTAATCGGACCACTGCCACGCCCACAAAACGCCATTAATCAAAAACAAATAACTTGCCATAACTAAGCTCCGCAATAAGATACAAGACTGTTATTTGGTACACAGGATCACATTAGGGAGGGGCATCTGCAGTTAGATATTTTTTTTTAAAGTGGGCGTGGTCCCGCCTCTAATAGGTTTAATGTGCATATCTCCTAAACCGCTAATGCTATAATAACAAAATTCACTAGAAGCAAATGTTTTTAGCACTTCTATTGACGGTGTAAAAATAGTTGAAATCGGGTGGCAACTCCGCCCACTCCCCATATAACGCCCACTTTATAGGAACCGCGTTGAAAATTAGGCAGTGGGCGTGGCACCGCCCACTTTTAGGTGAAAACCCATATCTTGGGATCTGATTAACCGATTTCAACCAAATTCGGTGCATAACGTTCTTTTCATGTTTCTATGTCATAGTGCGAAAATGGGCGAAATCGGACTACAACCACGCCTACTTCCCATAGAACACCATTTTCAATTCCTTCTGATTCTTTCACTTTCCACTATGCAAATCAGGTAACAATGATTATATCGGGGTAAAACTTTGCGTGAATAATGCAATTAAAGTATGCCACCTTGCGGCCAAAAATTGTCTAAATCGAACCGAAACTGTTCAAACCCCTAAGTACTAAATATGTGGACCCCAGTGCCTATAGTTGACCTTCTACCGAAAATATCAGCCAATCCACAAAGAAATCTCAAACGAGTATACCATTTGACTTTGCGAGAGTATAAAATGTTCGGTTACATCCGAACTTAGCCCTTCCTTACTTGTTTATAAAATATATGTGTTTGAATTTGCACATTTATATCCTATTTTTATAGAGAGGTCCTATGCCTTTTACTTATATCAATCGATTTCATAACTTTTCACTTATGCACTCCAAAGCCAACTGAACTGAGGGAGCTTGAAATATCATTTTGTGGAAAGTGAGTATTTTAGTATGGTTGCTGTCCGATTTTGCCTAAAATTGCGGTCCTAAAAATGTTCGGTCTATTCATTACGCCTCATGAGTTTTAAGATAATATTTTTTGGTAGAGCAATCCATTTACCGAGGAGACTACTATTGTTAGAAAAGTACTTATTTATAGGAATGATTTGCACATCTAACCACCACTTCATCGACACGCACTTCGATAAAATCATCTTCCTCATTTTTTGACGTTTACGCTTGCGCAGACAGACGGACTTACGATCGGAATTAACGGCATACATATGTATTATATAATATTATATTATTACATAAGCTGACAACAAAAGTAAAGACTTCCACTAATAACACATGGAACAAAAGAACTAACTTACCTACGAACACTCCAATACAATGGTGAAGATTCTGAAATTATATAGAAACACAATACATTAGATTAAAATTTGGTGTTATGCATTTACGCAATTATATAAGCAAGTAAATGTATGAAATACAAGTATATACAAAACTTATTTATGACCGAAGTATACTGTAGAGATTAAGTATGAGACTCACACCCTTTTGCTGAGGGGGTTAGAATTTTTGATTTTATTTCTACTTTAAAAACAAAAAAAGCAAAAAAAAACTCTAACGACACTTGTCGCCTTAGTATTTGATAACTGAAAACCCAACAAAATAAAAATTCAGAAAATTTATTTCTGTTTTAAAATTTTTTTCAAACTCGCTTAGAGAAATTTCGCTATAAAAACGTGTTTTTGAAATCAATATAAATAGATTTCATTAAAAATCAATTGATTCTCATTGTTGTGCTGCTCGTTGGTACTCGGTAATTCAATTCCGGAAAATATGTCGAGTACCGCGAAGTCTTCGAAAGCAAAGCCACCTCCAAAGCTGCCGCCGCGGCTTTTCTTTAATCATCGTCAGATGGCGCTGCGTAACATTGGAGTTGCAGTGGCCTCGGCCCTGTTCGCTGCTATGACTTTCAACATACTCCATAACAAGCCACGCAAGAAGAAGTATCGCGACTTTTACAGGTCTGTCTTATATAATATCTGCTGGTTTATATATAATATAAAGAATGATTTTTTTCCTGAACGTAGCAATTACGACCCGCAGAAGTCATTTATGCGCATGGCAGAAGGCGGCTATTTACACGGCTGCCCACCTTGTTCTTTGAAGGAAGACGACGAAAATGATGCCGATAAGAAGAAGAAAAAGTAAATGTAAAACAAGTTTCCTAAGGAATGGCGAATTATATTAAATGCCTATGAAATATAGCAGTTTTATAAAAAAAAAAAACTGTTTTAAATTTTGATTGATGTTGCGTTTTATATTCCAACTCACAACTTTATATACAACTCACAACTTTATCGTAAAGTTTGATTTCTGATATACAATTTGTCAATCGCTCAAAAGTCGAGCGCTCGAGAGAAATGTTATGAGCTCGAAAGAATGGTAAACAGCAATCGACTGTATGGGTGTTTCCAGGTGTGCCGAAACCTACAAAGTTGTTCGCACACGAGGCACTTCCAATCAAATGGTTGCATGTATTTTTGGATAAACTGGACATGTCGCAACCATAAATTTTGAGTGGTACACAACCATTTGTTTGCCGATTATCTTCAAAGACCTCAGGGAAACAAACCGCCGAGGGCGGGCCACTATTCACCACGACAAAGCGAGATCTCTCACATCGACTGCAACAACTGAACATTAAATCATCAATTTGGACCGAATGACCTTTTTTTATTCTGGTTCGTAAAAAACAAATAAGAACCAACGTTTTTCGACACCTGAAGAGGCGGTTACTGCGTTCAGAATGCATGTTTTAGAAATACTTCAATCAGAGTGGCAAAAGTGCTTCGACAATTAGCTCAAACGCATGCAAAAGGGTAAAGACCTTAATGGAGAATATTTTAAAAAAAATATAAAGCTAATTTCGATGATTAATATTTGTTTTAGTTCTCTAATCTCGAAATATAAAAGGCAATCCTCGTATAAGTAAATATACGTAAAATGCTTTGTTGTCGTGTTAGCGGTTGAAACCAACTATTTTACAGGTGGCAACTCTAAACTTTTCTAAATTCTTTTAGTTTGGCAATGCGGGCATTTTTTACTTTATTATTATGTACTTCACATTCTCGAGCAGGTAGCAACACCCTCCTGAAAGGTAAATTCTTTAAGTTTGACCATACGCGTATCGGGAGTGTTCTTATACTCTCGCAACATGATGGCTTAAATCTATATAAATACATATATGATCAGGATAATGAAACGAGTTTAAATCCGGATGTAACTCCGTCCACTCCTCATGTAACGGTTCTGTTAAAAACTACTAAAAGCGCGATAAGTCAATAAATAATTACTTAGAGACATTAAATTTTACACTCCTCCGAAACCGGGTTTAGACCCCAATTCTCTTAGGCAAAGATGTTCAGAATGATAAGTAGACCGTTGCCGGCATACGTGATTTTTTAGAAAAAAATGTTAAAGTATTCTTATATATGCAGTGGTGGTTTGACTCAATTATATTGAGTATTATACGCAAATTATGAAATTATGCCGCATAAGCAAAGTTGCAAGCAAAAGTTGTGTTGATAATTTAATCTGGTTTTAATTTCGTATGAAAATATATGTATTGTACAATGTATAATAATGGATAAACAATATTGGTGGCCTGTAGTAATCGTGTTTATTATTGAACCGCTGATGATATTGCGTGAAGTCTGATAAAACTATAACCTTATTTTCTCATTCATATGATGTATTTTTTATTTAAAATTTTCAATCAGATGGCAACCCTTTCAAAAGTTTTGTTTAGTTAGATTTTTTTTAATATTAAGTTTTATTTAGAATCTGACAATAACTAAATTTGTTGGCAAAAACAATGTTGTTGAAGTACAACGAAAAGTATTTGACATAACTGAAGGTGAGATCAATTAAATCGAAAGGGGAAATCTTATGGGTGTTATCTTTTCAGTCTTCTACATTGTTGACTATTGTCCAGCAGGTGGATCGCAAGTACGTCATCACAGTTCTTCAACCGAGAGAGAGAACGACTTCCAAATTCTTCTATAGTTTCTTTTACAGCGGCCATTTTTAGGTCTCTATGGAGGACGTCGTTTCTAACATAAAAAGGTGCATCCACTAAGGTGCGAAAAACTTAATTTTAAAAGCCTTTAAAGCTTAGTTGGAGAAAAATATTACTGTTATATCAGGTTGATGTAATAAAAAAAATTGAAAACTGAAAGTCTCAAAATTATTTTTAACTAAAAAATTTCCAAACCTCTTTCTCCACTTAAATTCTCTTTCTAATTAAAAAATTTTAATAATTGGCGTATCAATTTTATTGTAAATTTACTTTTTATACTATCTCAACTTGTTGCTACAGAGTATAATAATTTTGTTCACCTAACGGTTGTTTGTATCACCTAAAACCAATCGAGTTAGATATAGGGTTATATATACATATATAAATGATCAGGATGAAGAGACGAGTTGAAATCCGGGTGACTGTCTGTCTTCTGTGCAAGCTGTAACTTGAGTAAAAATTGAGATATCTTCATGAAACTAGGTACACATGTTTCCTGGTACCGTTAGATGGTTTGTATTGCAGATGGGCGTAACCGGACCACTGCCACGCCCACAAAACGCCATTAATCAAAAACAAATAAATTGCCATAATTAGCTCCACAAGAAGATACAAGACCTTATATGGTATACAGGATCACATTAGGGAGAGGCATCTGCAGTTAAACATTTTTTTTAAGTGAGCGTGGTCCCGCCCCCCTAATAAGTTTTATGTGCATATTTCCTATACCACTGAAACTATAATAATAAAATTTACTGGGAACAAATGTTTTTAGCATCTCTATCGACGGTGTGAAATCGGGCGACAACACCGCCCACTCCCCATTTAACGGTACTGTTAAAAACTACTAAAAGTGCGATAAATCAAGTACTAAACACGCCAGAGACATTAAATTTTATCTCTGGGATGGTATGAGATGACTTTATAGGAAACGCGTTCAAAATTACTTTTAGATGAAAACCCATATCTTGGGATATGCCGATTTCCACCAAATTTGGAACATAACATTCTTCTCATATTTCTATGTTATAGTGCGAAATTGGGCGAAATCGGATTCCACGCCTATTTCTCATATAACACCATTTCAAATTCCATCTGATTCTTTCATTTTCCACTATGCAAATCAAGCAACAATGATTATATCGGCGTAAAACTTTGCGTGAATAATACGTTTAAACTATGCCACCTTGTGACCAAAAATTATCTAAATTGAACCACAACTGTTCAAGCCCCTAGGTACTGAATATGTGGACCCCAGTGCCTATAGTTGACTTTTTACCGAAAATATCGGTCAACATAGAACAAGGGGCAAGATTCACAAAGAAATCTAAAACGAGTATACCATTTGACTTTGCGAGAGTATAAAATGTTCGGTTACTTCTTTACTTATTGGTACTAATTTTATCCGATAAATTTTTTAAATAACATATTTTTAAACAGCTGGTAACCGTCTTACTTCTTAGGTTTAAACTAGTAACAACATAGGTATTGCACCTTATAATACAACACAAAAACACAAATATTAAGACCGATTTAGATTTTTTGTAGCGTTTCGTTTACTGCTAGCGTGTCGAAATATTGTTGCAGAACACAAAGCCGTTACAGTAGATCTAATCAGTAGTAACAAAGTACCCAGAGATATCTTTAAAAATGTGTTTAAGAGGTATGGTCTTATTGCAATTATACTTAAGCAAAAGCTTTCTCTAGGCTTTAATTTAAGAAATTCAAATTTTTTATTTCGAAAAAAGAGTATATTTTCATTCAATTTTTTCAATTTTTATCACCACCGTTAGCAGCTGTTTGGTAAAGTATGCGAAAACAGTAGACAGTTCAATGGGGTTAATAAAAAAAATATCAACAGAATTCAACAAAGGAGTGAAATTAACAAAATAAATCTCAACCTCACGTAGAATGCTGAAAGAGACATGAAAGAGAAACTCGAGTGAAAATGGTAAACATGTAGATATATAATATTATATATACATTCTTTGCAGATATACATGTCCGGCTTCGCCCACACCAAATTGGGCTGCATATAAGTTTTGATGCTTCCTACAGATGCCAACAATAATATCGCTTGAAAAACATATGACGGACTTAACCTACCCACGGAGACTGTACTTCATTATGTGTATTATCACCAGTCCTGTGGTCACTTGTAGCTTATGAGGTTTTGAAAAAATGTTAAAGCTATTCTAGGTACGGGCAAATTCCTAGACACAAATAATAATGTAATAGACAACACTTTAAGCGTCATACTGAGTTCCTGGGTTAAAAAGGAATTCCGGGAAACGAAATAGTTGATGAGATTCATCCAAATGGATACCGATCCAGTACAGACAATATGTATGGCGTAACAGCCGGTCAGTAACCTAACCTAACCTAACCTAACCTAAGCTGCAGTTATGTGTTCTAAGAACTATGAACTTTTAGCGCAGCGATTTTGCACCTAGAACTCACGGAGTGCTGATTGCGAACTTGAATCACTCCATCTAGTTACTTTATGAGCCCTATAAACATGTATACCACAAATTTAGACTATATGTATATACACTTATATAAATTCCTATAAACATTCCCACTTACATTCACACAAGATGTGATGAAAGCAAACAATAATCGAGCGCGCATTTGAGCACACTTGTAATATTTGCCAAAAAAAAGTCAATTGATAAAATCCGTGTTTCGTCGAAAAACTTTTAGCACCAAACGAAAAAGTTTTCAAAGCACAATACAAAAAATAAAATAAAATAAATGAAACCAAAGTTGTGTTGGTGGCAAAATTAAAAGTGATTTTTTATTTATTTAACAGTAAAAAGTTTTCAGCAGCAATCACTGTGGTATAACATATGTTTACAATCATATTTTTGGACTTGAATTGCTATGTGTCCGCCGTTGTCAGCACATAGCTGTTTAACAAAAAGTATTTCAAAGTGGCGACAGATGTTTTATTGCTAGCAGATATGGTTTATTTCCTTTTGGGAAACTAAAATTAAGTTGTTCAAAAATAACAGACTTTCGTACAGGTGGGTCTTGCGCAATTCGGCTATGGACCCAAATCGGCTGAATTATGAAGTAACTCGATGTGACAGATGGATGATGCCACCTTAATTGAAGACGCTGCATTGATCAAAGGACTATGTGCCATAAATGGAATGGTTCGTATTGTACTACACTTGCTGATAAATCCGCTCTTTGCTATAATCACCGCTTTCGGTAGTACA